GCATCCACCCGGGGATGAATCACCAAACAAAAGACGAGTGATGTATCCGACGTAGAGAACTTGGTAGAGTACAAGTCTAAGCTGAAGTGCCGAGTCCTTTCTTGACTTGCTTCTGGGACTTGCGTTTCATCTTCTCCGCTCGCCAGCCACCTTCCAGCACTCCCACTTCAGGTACTGAGCAATCCTCGGCAGTTCGAACCTTGCCTGACAGCGAAAAATATCAACAAAATAAAGCGAGAGAGGAAATTAAAAAAGATACATAAGAGTTCAGGACTGACCGGAAGGAGTTTTCCGAGGTGTTTTACACTCATTGGAAAAAGTTTCAGCATCATTTCCAGAGAAACCGAGACGAAACTCGTTAAATGTTAGTAACATACCAAACTTTATCAGGACTAATCAGTGGGTTATCGAGATCATTGCGTTATCACGACTCAGCACTAACTACACCGCAGAGATGGACGAACTTTCTGACATACTACCTCTCTTCTTGACCTTGAGCTCTGAAGCTGCTAACCTTTCTATTTCTTCCGTTTCCCGATTGATCTCAGCTACCGTCATCTAAAGAAGCCGTCAAAAAATGAAGTCCCAGATATCAAAAGTTTTACCTTTGGGTCAACTTCAAGACGGCGGGCTTCCCTCTCATCTACCAACGCATTTCGACCACCTGAGAGCGCACAGTGATGCTCAGCAGACTAAGAAAGACCGATCGTGTTCTCGACACATGCCTAACGAATCGGGAGCGGTTAAATCAACCAACCCACGTTAACAACGAATGACAAACTCTCACATTATGGCGGATGAGCACGCATAAGCATAGGAGCTGAGTGCATGGAAGTACGAACCCTTACTCTTCTTGGCTTTGACCTTTTTAGGGACAAGACTCGAGAGGTCCTTCACAGTCTTGACTCGATGACGCTTCCGTTTAACCATTAGTGACCAGGAACTATTAAGAACGATTCCCCCAAAATCATCAATCCCAAATCAGGCGCCATAGCGCAAGCTTCGAGTCCCGTGAGTGAAACTATGCAACAAGGTCGAAATAGGACAAAGGGTAACAGTAGGAAACACGTGGAGTTATGGAGAAGGGGTCGATGGTGACGACGGTGAAGCAATGCTCTGCGGCGAAGAGTTGAGAATCTGAGGGAGCATAACTAAAGAACTGGTCAGCCGTACGGTTGACTACCCCTGCCAAATGAGTATTGCTAACTTTCTCAGGTCGGGAAGAAGTCCTCTTGTTGCGAGTGCCTCTCTGTCGGCCTCCCCTAGTCTTACGTACAGGCCTAAGCGAAAACCGAACATCATGCCTCGCCATAACGCTGAAAGAGTACCGATGCAAAACCTCTGCTTGCTGGTTGCGACCTTCGTTAGTGGCTTTTTGTATGTCAGCTATGCTGGGCCAGGTCGTACCAAACCACCTACGAGCCGTCAAGTTCTAGCACCGATTGAGGTACCAGCCTACATTTCCTTTATATCGCTATCCAGTGCTTTCGCCATACTCGTGATTTCATCGGAATAAAGCCGGCCAAGGATAACTCCGAGGTTGCTACGACCTAGTACAGAAACCTAGATCATGTATGTGAGCACAGCTGGCGTACATGCAGAACACCGTTCTTCGTTAGAATACAAATCGCACTGCAACTTCTTCGGCCGAGGTCCAGCACCTGGAACAGAGTACCCAAGAACCATAATCATCATGAGCGCAAGACCTGCCGCCTTCCTTGCAGTTCCATCACTCGCAGCCGCCGCTTGCTCCGCAGCGGCCTGTGCTCGCTCGCATTTAATTTGCTTGATATAATCAGGATGCCGCACGCCTCGACAGGCATGTTCCCGCAGTAAACCTACAGTAAGACAAGTCTCGAAAAATGAAACCGTGTCATTGGCACGATATGACAATTACTTGAAATATCCTCGTCGATTCCCGGATAACTCTCGAGTAAATTGGGATCCACCATGAGTGTTGGCCGACTATGTAGCAGTTGAAGGAGCTGTTGCTTGTCACGGAGGTCGTAGTGAGGCCTATGAGCAGTCCTCAGCACGGATAACTTAAAGGGGGGCTTCCTCAATGATACGACCTAGCCGCCCGGAGTAATAATTATTACTTAAACTTGTACCTCCTAGTGGTGGGATCGTAGTCGATCTTCGGGTTGTTTTGCAACATGCCTACCACGGCTGGCTGACCTATTATCCTTTCCCTTGTCGTCCTGAAAAAGATGAGGAATTTCCTACTCCGCAATCTTGAAAGCCCTCACCGTTCTATTTGGGAATCCGTGAATTCCTGGTTGGGATGCTGCTTGAGCATGTCCAATACGACCTTCACGATGGACTCCACCGGCCGCTGTCCCTTCGTCCCAAACTGGTACATCTTTAAAACTGAGCTGAGGGCTCCATAGCGCCGGAAAAGCAGTCAGGTAGAACCCATCGCAACAAGTAGGACTCGAAGGACTAACTTTGCATAGGTCCCTCCGCACCCGAGTTCAGAGGTTTATCCGCGCACGCCATTCCAATCGATTTTTCTGGAAGGAATGTGATCAAGTGGCGCTGCGAAGGAGATGTGTTGCGTTGCAAACCCCTGTTCTCCGCGGATTCAGCGGCAATCACTATGGCTCCTCTCATACCGGGGCGGCCT